GTTTTCATCGATGGCCTTCCCGATGTCATCAGTTTTCGACACTCTATCTATGCGTATGAGGCAACGATTGACATAATGGTAAGCCTGATACGTTGTATACAGGTAACTTGACAGCTGATCTTGTAAGTGAGCTTCGATCCGTTGTTAAATGGGGCCCAAAATGGCTATTTCAACTTTTAAAACAAAACTGTTCTATCTTAGTAATCTTAAAAAAACTTTTTTTGCCTTCCATCAGTATGGCTCATGCTAACCTCCAGGAAGGTAAATCATTGCGCTTTGTCGGTCTTGTACATTTCTCTGTCATGAAGTGGAATTAATATAAGGAATAAAATGTTAATATTTAGTTCACTAGTTTGTGCTAGATATTTTTTCTCACCTGAAACTGCACCTTTCGTGAGTGCATTGAATATAGACATATCAGGCCTGGATGCTTCTGCTATGTATCTTGAGATTTGGGACAAAATCGGAAAATCAATCTGTAATATTATAGATTTCGACCGGGCATCTCGGTTTCAGTCACTGTCACTCTTTTGTAATACGGTATTCCTGTGTCTTTTCTACAAATATTTCGATGGCAATTATTCGGATGAACATCTCTTCTTTGATACCTCGACTTCATGAATTAAATCGTAGTACAGTGTAACCCGGATATAAGAGACCCTGATATAACAGAAACCCGGATATAAGAGAGATTCTCTCTGGTCCCAAAGTGTTCCCATACTTACCTAAACAAAATAGACCAAACCCGGATATAAGAGAAACCCGGATATAAGAGAAATCCGGATATAAGAGAAACCCGGATATAACAGACTTCTTCTCCGGTCCCGACAACTCTCTTATATCCGGGTTACACTGTATAAGATTGACAGATTGGTCACATTATTTTACTAATGAAATTGCTAAATGCAACCGTAAGTTCTGTGCCAATAGTTTCTTCTCTCGCACATCTCACTTGTAGAACTCTCTTCCAGTTTTTTCTTTCCTCTCAATAACAATGTACACATATAAATATTCAACATGTACATATTCAACGTCAACATATAAATATTCAGTATGTACATATTCAATGTCAACATGTACATATTCAACGTCAACATGTACATATTTAACGTCAACATGTACATATTTAACGTCAACATATAAATATTCAGCATGTACATATTCAACATCAACATGTACATATTCAACGTCAACATATAAATATTCAGCATGTACATATTCAACGTCAACATGTACATATTTAACGTCAATATGTACATATTCAACGTCAGCATGTACATATTCAACGTCAACATGTACATATTTAACGTCAACATGTATATATTCAACGTCAACATGTAGATATTCAACGTCAACATATAAATATTCAGCATGTAAATATTCAACGTCAATCACCAAGCGTCTTCTTAATTCCTGTTTCATTTATTTCGCTTTCTTCTCAGTAAACTTTTCTTAGTTTCCTTCAATCTATTATTCTCTGATTTCTAGTTACATCTTAGTGGTTCTATTGCCTTATTTCGATTGAGATAATAAAAATACACACACGATTCCCTAAACTAGTGAGATACAGTTACAATTTCACCCCAAAAGCTATCGTCTTTTCTGATGTTCGTTTAAACACATGAAATTCCTGTTATCCATGCATCGTTCATTTCTATATTGATATTGATTAAAACTGTCAATTTTTGTGATATTTCGTCGATAGATCGCCGTCCTCATGAAAAGAACTGGATTTCAGCAAACTCTACATCAGCAACTTAAAACGCGACTCCCTATAAGTATAAGAACGCTAAATGTTTGCTTTAATTCTATTACGGGGATTTCCAGTGTTTTTATAAAAATGGAAAAAAATGGTCAATTTTGCCGACTCAAAAAAAAAAACGATTTTTAACGAAAATTTCGAACGTGCTAGGAACGATTAAAAAATGGAAAAAAAATACCCCCAAAATACTTAGATCTTTCCTCTTAATAATAACATAAGCATTTAGACGATAAAATTTTGTTTTCGTCAACTTTGGCGTCTTTTTCATCATGCTATGCTCTTTTTTAGCGATCTCGTGGAGGTACCTAAATATATGTAACTGACATTTGACAAGAAACACAGTCATGTACATAGCATTGAAATTGATATGCTATATTGGCCATCGCTAGCTTAAATTTGATGGAGGTATGTCAATTAGGGACAACAATGTTTGCAGTTTTTCGTTTTTTTTTTGTTTTTTTTTTTTGTAATATACTGTAAGTTTTACATTTTTCTTTCTGTAATTAGGACAGAAATATACCGTTTAATGATTCGGCATATAGTGAGTTTTTCCTGCTGATAATTATTAGGCATCTGGTTATTGTAAAATATATTTATGCTTGTTGTGTGGTATTTACATTATATATATGTGACGAAATTTTATATACTTGAAATATCAGACCAAAATGTTAGCTTTGTGGACAAACATATGAGAACCAAGCTGCTCATTACTGATTACATTCACTATTCAAACTCATT